ATAGATAGATAGATAGATAGATAGATAGATAGATAGATAGATAGATAAATACAGCTTTTATTTTGAAATTCTGGAACCGCGCGCTCTTGTCATTGTGTTAACTTTGAATTGACGGTGGTACCTCCACCGTGGGACGGTGTAGACATAGGAGGCGAGACTAAAGATTGCAACACAGAGCCCGGGGGAGGACCTGAAAAAAGGAGGCAGGCGGTTGGGGTTGAAAACTCAATTTGAGCTGCGGTGGCTTACTGACAAGTCAGTTCAGCGGAAGTGGAGTTCGAGAGAAGTTCCACTCAGCAGTTTGTCACTTTTTTTTTGTATGGTTGCTGTCTGCGAACGCTTAAGTTGTTCGGAAAGTGGGGATAAAAGTTAAGCTCCAAGATGTCCCATCTTCGACCCAGGCTGTGTGTGCTCGAGAAGGGACCCAATGGCTACGGGTTCCACCTGCACGGGGAAAAAGGCAAGACCGGGCAGTTCATCAGGCTCGTGGAGGCGGACACTCCCGCCTCCGAGGCCGGGCTCCTCGCGGGCGACCGACTCATGTTCGTCGACGGGGAGAACGTGGAGGGCGAGAGCCACCAGCAAGTGGTCGCCAGGATACGGGCGACGGTCGGGGCGTTGGAACTTATTGTCGTTGACCCCGAGACGGCGGAGCTGCTGAGGGAGCACAACCTGCTGTGCCGGAAAGAATTCGTCACGGAGGGGATTCCCCTGCCCGGCGGGGACAGCGTCTCGGAGCACGGCGACTCGCAGAGCAACGGCACCCCGAGGGAAGCCAGTCCAGTCCCGCGAGAGAACGGGGATGCCTCCTCAGAGAGGTCCGGGAGGTTGAGTGTCAGCTCCAGCACCAAGGTACTTCCGACTAATGCAGGCCTACTTTACGCTTTTAATATAATATAATATAATGTAATATAATATAATATAATATAATATAATATAATATAATATAATATCATATAAAAGTCAAATTAAAGGCTAAAATAGCCAGCAGTTAACCCTATGACAAATAATTATTACAGCGTAAACACTCATATCATCCAAAATGAATATTGATTCATCATTAGACTCCAAAAAATCAGAAAAAGAGACGAAAAAGCTACCCTATTCCATACATATATGTATACATACAGTGGGGGAAATAAGTATTTGACCCCTTGCTGATTTTGCAGGTTTGCCCACTTAGAAAGAATGCCTATTTTTAATCATCAGATGGTTATCAATTTTTATAAATTCATATGATGTGATTTTCTGGAATTTTCTTTGGGTTCTGTCTTTCACTGTTAGAATGTACGTATGATTAAAATGATAGATTGTTGCATTCTTTGTAAGTGGGCAAACTTGCAAAATCAGAAAGGGGTCATACTTATATACTTATTTCCCCCACTGTACATGCCCTGTCTTTGCATTTTGACCTTATGTCCTGGCTCATATTCCGTTTTAAGATTTTGAACACATCTGTTTCTGTGTATTTCTTTGATGACAAAAGTGGGGAAACAAGAGGCGTTGAATAGTGACGCACAAAAACCTCTGGGCCCTAGCGAATCAGTCCTTCCTTCCTGTTTACACCAGCGCACACATGCAGTTTGAGCATTTGTGTACTTCTGCAACCAGAGGCCATTTTAATTTTAAAACGGTACCATTGAGGATGGTCAGGTGGAAACAGACAAAAAGCAGGAGGACCTGAAGCTCCTATCCTTCTGTCATATCTGAGCATGGCCTGATGTAAAGATTGTTAAGAAATAGATCCCATGACATGAAGTCACCAGCGTTGATAAAGACTTGCAATGGAGAGGTGACACATCGCAATGAAACATTCCAGTCCTTTGCTTGCTCATGTTCAACAGATGTTTTGTCATGCTAATGTCTTGCCTGGGCCCTCTGCTTCTTGTCAGTTATTCCCTGTCAGGTTCTACTTGTCGGATGAGATTTAGCTTCAAGCGACTCGGTTTCGCTTCACGCACGCCACTGACAGTCAACATCTGCACCACTCTGTTATCTCAGAGCAGTTAAAAAGAAAAGAACTGAGCTGTGATAACAAGGTCAGATACGAGCCTTTTGTTGAGCATGCCTTAAACTTTTCCGGTGAGGGTTTTTGTATTCGTTTGCTAGTGCTAGACTTTACAAAATAATTGGAACACCTGGTGTCTTTCGTCCACTTGCCGTTTTTCCGCTTATTCTTTATGGTCTCGTATAAAAGGTAAATCTAAAGTTAATCTTTGAAAGGGTGAGCAACATGACTGGGATTTGTTGGCTATGTAACTGCTTTAGCAAGTGCAAAGTCTGGGTGCTGATTTAAAGGTTGTGTAACCGACGTGCAAAATAGCCTGACTTTGGAGGTGTTTAATGTAGCAGAGCTCTGAAAGAAGGAAGTAGTTCCCATCTAGATCTTAGAAAAATAATAGACAAATGGTAAATGTTTGACACTAAGGCCTTGTGCAGCTTTGGCTCCGAATTGATGTGAAAGCGAGTGAAATCATTCTGATTGGCTGTCTGGTGAAGAATCCATGATGTTTTCCATTTTAGCTAATACAGTGGGGGAAATAAGTATTTGACCCCTTGCTGCTTTTGCAGGTTTGCCCACTTACAAAGAATGCTTATTTTTCCTCATCAGATGGTAATCAATTTTTATAAATTCATATGATGTGATTTTCTGGAATTTTCTTTGGGATTCTGTCTTTCATTGTTAGAATGTACATATGATTAAAGTTATAGATCGTTGCATTCTTTGTAAGTGGGCAAACCTGCAAAATCAGCAAGGGGTCAAATACTTATTTCCCCCACTGTATACTCGTAATTTTTTCATCTATACCTCTTATTATCTTCCATTCCATCGTACTGTCAGAGTCTTATAATGTATAACAGAGTAAACTTTGTCTAGGTGATATCACAAATCATTGGAATTAAAGTTGATATGATTTATTACTGTATATATGCAAAGTTTAAAACTCAAGGCTCTGGTAGAAATGGGTTGTTTGGACCCCTGCCCTTCTCTGTGTGGGAGGATTATACCTTGACTTTAACACTTTCATCCTCACGGACGGTTGAAGGCTGTCTTGGCTGTCAGGGGTGTTGCAGATCTCTTGCCACATTCCTGTCTGATGGGAAACTTGGCAAAGCCTGAGTGATGGTGTGATACTGGCCACTGATACCAGCCCCTCGGTGGGGGATATACTTGAGTGGGCAAAAGCGACGTGAAACCAGCCTTGCTGATGCTTAAACAATAGCTCCTTTCAAACGATTGCGTCCGGTTAAATGCAGAATTGCAGTCCAGGCCTCGGCCACTGAACATTTCTTTAGACAACCCCCCGCCAAAAAAAGTCAAACAGATATTACAGGGATGGCTTTTTTGCAAAATAGAGGAGCATTCGAGCTAATTTCTGGTACCCATCTTGGCCTCCTGAGGCTGACTCCTTCACCACAGCGAGGGCCGCCTGTTGGTCACCATAGAGATCCCCAGCCGCAGAAAGAAGCTTTGTCCAATGTGTTTGTCTACTGAGAAAAGCTTTTCGGGCCTGAAAGAAAACGAAAGAGGACTCTCACACTTTAACCGAGAGGCCGCGATTTCCCTGAAATACATACACTCTAAGCTAACACGCACTAAAAAAGGTGGTAAGATTGAAAACAGAGGATTTGTGATGGTTCAAGAGACCTGTTTAAGGATTTTTTTAAATGTAAAACATTGACACAAATAAGTATGGTTTCTGGGGTATTACTTCTTGATAGCCCTTCATCTTTGCAGATGGTTTCCAGTTTAGAAAAATCTGCCAAAGCAACACTTGAGCTAAGTTCTAACATGATGGTTACCATGTCTGAGCCCATAGTGATACTGCTTTTGACTTTGAGCTGTGCCAAAGACCAAGTTGGTGACTTAGACAGAGAAAACATCTTTTTTTTGTGTACCTTGGACAGGTCAAGCTCTTTTAGTCTGTGGACAGTCAGTTTTAAGGCAACTTCTGTATCCAGTTATCAGGACCAAGAACTACAACTGTGCAACTATTTTGTGGAGTCTTTTCAGAAGACAGCATTATAGGGCAGGAGAGTGACAGATACAGTCAAATACTAATTATGAATTAAATCAAGTTTGTTTTGTAAAGACTCATACTTTGGTGCAAGATCATAGGGAATGAGTGGACTTATTCGATTATGGAAACAGATATGGCCAAAAAAAGAGAATTGTAACTGTAAGTTGTTGTTTTTTGTCACACACGTGCACATCTATGCCAGCCTTAATTTCCACCCTATACCATTTTGGGGGGGGGCTTTAACTGTTCATCCACTCACAAAAGATTAAAGTTATGACATAACTGTATGAAGACCTTTAATACTCTCTCAGAATGAAGGCCTTGAAGCCTATCTTATCATTTCCATTTGTTTCACAATATTTCTTATCACATGCCTCATGCTAGCTTTGATAGAGATCTATTAATCTTAACCCAAGTGTTTGATTGTTGCTGTAAATCTTTATATACCAAGATGTTCCTCAGTAAAGTTTATTCCCCTGAAAATATAGTCTCGAATTCCAAGATAAAATATAGAGTTGAGATGGTCTTCCCAGCACAGTTATCCAACTTAAACTGAAGCTGCACCCAGGAAATGCTAGATTCAAGATTTTCCCAATTTGAAATGTTTATTTCTAAATTCAAAACGACATCTTCAACATATGATATCCTATCTCTTAGCGAAACCTGAATATTTGGCAGGGTTTAATGGTATCATTCTGAAAAAGGTCAGTCCTCTTTAGACCATATTCATGCTCACAAATGCACTCCATAAGAATTTTGGAACAAAAATTGTATTACTGTTTCAGATGTTTGCAATATATGAAGATCACTCACTGTATTTCTCTGCCATATGAAGTGCATTTAAGATGTTGGCAGGAAACTGACATATTTGTGATAGCTAAACACTGGCCAATCTTACCATCCCAGCCAGTTTGACTTCAAGGAATAATAGAGTAGATTCTTGATCCTGGTCAGTAATGAGCAGACTTCAGATTTTGAGTCCTAGGTAGCGTTTGGCGGTAATACGCTAATTGGGTTATCTTACAAAAGCAACAAGGTTTCAATACCGTCATTGAAAAAATGCAATGCGCAAATGCAAAGAAATCTGCAATGCAGTATCTGTGTCCAAGTAATTTAAAACCCACTAATAGATAGAATAAAGATGCTTTATGCCGAGTATGTTACTTTACTGAGAACAAAAACATCTTGAAGGTATTGAAAGGGCAGCAGTTTTAGATTAGCTAAATCTCTACAAAGGCCGGCTTTCCGAAATAAACATAAAATTAAGCCCTTGTTTTTTTTTTTGTTTTTCATGCTGATTATTGAACGTTTTGTTCCTCCACTGGCTCTTATTGAATGTGTAGCTAAGCTGTCTGGAGAAAGCCCTCAGATCCACCTAGATTTAATTGGGATATTTGGCATGACGGGGATTATAATTACATTTGTTCTAATTAGCAAAAGTGTTCTTTGAAGTGACGCCTCCCTTTAAACCTTGAACCTAATTATAGTTGGCTACATATGGTCCGCTGTCCCCAGGCATTGGGCTCTGATGTCTCCCAGCTCAGATTTGTCAACAGAATGACCAAACTGATGGAGGTGCTGATTTGCTCATATATTTGCTCAATATCAGACGGTTTTGTTATTGTCTTTTGTGTAAGTCTCTATCCCTGAGTTATGTAATGATGATAAATGTGTTGCAATACTTCTTTCTTACTAAATAAAACATCTGCTGTATAATTTTTTACATCAGCCACCTTATAAATACATATAAGCCATCAAAATGAACAGCATTATTTTTATGCTAATTATACCATATTGAACTCCTTTTAGAATTGCTGTGCTCTTATTTGA